AGTGATGTTTATTTTTTTGAAATCATACATTGATGAGTGCTAAATGACAGAGATACTCATGATTCTTTCTTTTGTTTTTGTTTGTCCCTAGCTTCTGGACATCTGATGATCTATTGGACGCAGCCATTTGCAGAACAAGAACCAGCCAATGAAAAAACGTCTATTGCCGATGCTTTTGCTTCAACCAGAACCACAACTGTGACAAATGCAATATACATGTTAAGTTTTCAGACATCTGACAGACAAAAACTTTGACTTTAGTCTGGGAGACTGAGCAACTGTTAAAATGTGTTAAAGTGATAAAGTATTGTAGCGTTTTAGTAGATGTTAAATAGTAGTAAAAAAGTAGAATTGTCCTTTTTGTTTTTAATAAACATATTTCCACGTAAGAGTTAAAATAGTACCATACAATGTTATCCTTTTGATAGATCAGCTAAAATATTAGAATCAGAATAATGTTACAGCCATTAAAAGTGACAGAAGTCACAAACTAGAAATATGCCTTGGCTCAAGCTGCAACCGAGCTTTAGAGTCACAATAGTGTAAAAATAGAATTAGATAAATGCATCAACCATAGATGCTTTCAAAAATAGAGATTATTTGTAGCCAGTGCTAATATCAAATGGTAAAGGGACCATTTCACAAACATTTACATTTAAAGTAGATAAAGTTACTTACAGTTTTATGTACAGTTTTATTAGATACTTGCCAAATTCACTTGTGTTCACACATGAGTGAATGTTGACAATACAAAACGTTCATGAGTGTAGCCTAGATTAATGAGATAGATTACAACCAACAGAGATTCAAAAGCATTTAAAAGCATTTTGATGCATTTGGGTATAGCACAAAAACACAATAGTAGATATTTAGAAGTTTCCAGCACAAACACCATTGTAGAATAACTGACCCCAACCCCAAACCTGCTAAAATAGATTAGCTCTTGTAAGGATTATACCAATTTGATTAAAGATGTACATTCATCCCAAACTGATAATGAAAGCAAACCACAGAGAGATTTATTAGATTAAAATATATGTTTAAGAATATGGCTCAATGAAAGCAAATAAACAAACATATTTGTAAATAGATTAGAATAGTTTTAAACTATAGTGAATAGAGAGTAAAGTACACAGTCTAAGATTAGAATAAGTGATAATAATACAGTGAAATAAGTGAAGTGTGAACAATTATCATTAGAATAAAAGTATAAAGTAATAAAAGTGAAATTAGCTTCTAATTTGAGACTCAGCTCGTTTTTGTCTGCGTTTTGACTGAATCTGCTGAGTTCTTGTGTGTCCAATAGTATTTTTGTTTGTTTTTATTTTTTATTTGTTTTTTGTTTGTTTATTTACTTTATTTTTGTTTTTTATTTTTTCCCAGGATAGAGGATAAAATCCACTGATATTGATTTGATGATTATGAGTTTAATGCATACATTTTCTTTGTTTAATAATTTTTTAAAGTTTTTTTTTTTTTTTTTTTTTTTTTCACTTTATTGATTGATCAAATTGAGTGATCACATGTGATTATGTGATCAAAGGGGAGGGTGTTAGTATTAGATAGCAATATGGCCTACGTGCAGGACTGTACAAGGACTCTACAAGGACTCCATGTTATGACTATGATTTGACTGTCTCTTTGTGACACGTATGTCTTTCGATGTGTGACGTGACAATGACTATATAAACTGTGTACTGCCTTTATTCTGTCTGAGAGAAAGAAACAAAGGAAACCAGTGGAACTTGAGAGAAACTTAAATAAACTTCCAGAGTTTGGCGCACCACGATCCGTCTCTGTCTGATTCATCCCTGACAGACCGATACCGGAAATGATCATGCTAAAATGTATTTAATAATTGAATTCTTTGTTCATGTAACTGCAAAAGCAGTGGATGAAATAAAACGCTAAACTTTCCAGATAAAAATGGATTCAACATAAATGTGCAATACTGCAACTATAAAGAGCTGCTCAATGTTCACAACATTCCAACAGTGTATTATACCTTATACATTTATTGAATATAAATGTACTTATATTAACTGTGTTTGAATAAAAAACACTTACAACAAACAAAACACGCTGCATGAAAATGTAAATAAATAATAGTACCGTAGCTTTAACTGGATTTCAGATATGTATTTGGCGACGGCATGTACCTGGGTTCCAAATGGTCTATGGTCTGCGAGCCCAAACTGATGAACGGCAACCCTTTCGGGTTGTTGCTGAAAAGCTTTTTGTGACGCTGCGTCAGTGTCATCTGTGTCTCGTTGTTTTCACGTTATCTCCTTTAGATGCAAAAACTCCCCATGCTGTTTCTCGTGGTGCTTAGTCGTGTTGTATTTCGCTAGTTTACCGCCGCGTGAACAACGCTGATTCTTTCCTGCGCTCCATGCTGTGTTGTTGTTGTTGTAGAGCGCCACGAGGAAGTGACGTGAAAGTCAAATCTGATAAATTACTTTTAATTAATTCATTTTATACGTATAAGTACATTATGCACAATGTATTTTAAGACATTGTGCGGTACCTGGTATGTATTAAAAAATTATATAATAAAAAATAAAAAATAAATAAAAACGAAAATGGATTGGCAGCACGGCGCCTCTCTCTACGCAGATATCCGATCCAGTATTTTTTCTGGTACCGGCGCCGATATCGATACCAGTATCGGATCGGTGCATCCCTACTCTATACAGTCTTAAAGTCAAACTAGGCCATGTTTGATGATATTATTTTCAACCATAGCAGCAAGAAATGTATCTTTGAGTTCATTTTCTACACACAAACCGTCTTGCTAAGTTTCAATGCCAATCGGTGAAGTGAATTTGCAACTACCCATTGTAGGGCAACTTTAGACTGTCGGTTTACCAGAATAAAACAAACCAAACCCTCAATTTACAATTTAGAAACTGCCATAGAGAGACAGCACAGACAGTAGATTACTATGCAGTCTATGAGAGAAAGCCAGTCCATTTTGTAATGTTTGGCTCCTGATATAGCTGTAGAATCTGGGTGCACTAGTAGCAACACGCAAGAAAATACACGACTGTTTTAAAGTAATTGAGATTTACCGTTGACACACATGTATCAGGCCATAATATGATGTTTCCAGTGATTTATGGATGTTGTATGTGTTCAAGTATTTACTATCCCTCCATAATGATATCCAATAAAGGCAAGGTAAGTTTATTTGTATAGGACAGGCAACTCAATGTGCTTAACAAAACAAGATCATCACACAAGGCATTAACATTGTAAATGATCACAATACATTAAGAATAGTGAAGATGCAGTGTCAGAGTAGAAGCCTGTCTCATATTTTCAGGAAGACTGCATGAATCTGAAATGCAGCCTCTCCATGTTTAGTCCTGACTGAGCACCAGCAGGAGGCCAGTCCCTGTGCTCCTCAGAGCTCCCAGCAGGAGGCCAGTCCCTGTGCTCCTCAGAGCTCCCAGCAGGAGGCCAGTCCCTGTGCTCCTCAGAGCTCCCAGCAGGAGGCCAGTCCCTGTGCTCCTCAGAGCTCCCAGCAGGAGGCCAGTCCCTGTGCTCCTCAGAGCTCCCAGCAGGAGGCCAGTCCCTGTGCTCCTCAGAGCTCCCAGCAGGAGGCCAGTCCCTGTGCTCCTCAGAGCTCCCAGCTGGAGGCCAGTCCCTGTGCTCCTCAGAGCTCCCAGCAGGAGGCCAGTCCCTGTGCTCCTCAGAGCTCCCAGCAGGAGGCCAGTCCCTGTGCTCCTCAGAGCTCCCAGCAGGAGGCCAGTCCCTGTGCTCCTCAGAGCTCCCAGCTGGAGGCCAATCCCTGTGCTCCTCAGAGTTGGGTGATATGGCACTAACATATGTACTGTACAGATGTACTTTGAGGCCATGGAGAGACTTGTAAAAAACAGAGCTGCTTTAACGTCTATTCTCTGAGCCACAAGAAGCAGAGACCTAAGAACTGGACTAATATGATGTCATGTAAAGTTTCCTGGTTCTAGTCAGCGTTTTGAATTCACTGCAGATGTTTTACAGCTTGTTGGAGAGACCAGTGAACATTTGGATCTCTGCTCCTGGAATGGTGTTTGGCAAGTCATTAATATAAAGCGCAAAGAAAAGTGGGCCCAATATTGTTCCCTGTGGGACTCCTGATTTTGATGTTAAAAAGGATTTTTCATTATTGATTCATACGCACTGTTGCCTCTGTTCAGCAGATATTACACAAAATAAAGGAAGTGGGGAAAGTAAAGTCAACACCTATGACGCTCAAAAGGAGTAGGCAGCAGCAAAATGCTTATTAACACTAACGCATGGATAAGAATCTTCAAGTTGACTTTAGACACTTTTTATTTGATTTTGGTCATGTTTTTTCAGGTGGTGAAAAGCTGCTGTTGTTATTGATTTGATGTGGCCATTGAAATGAAATGCATTTACCCATTTCAGTTTGACAAGTAGGTCAAAAGGGAGCGAGCTTTTCTTTCCACACTTCTTTGACAGTGGTGTGTGTCATGTAAGCTTTGTACAGTGGTTGCATCAGTCAGTGCGCGCTTTGTTGGACTAGTTTCAGGAGGACTGCGATACGTGCACAGAGCCTTGCTGTACTTTGGATGTCTCAATCACGCACGTAATGCATGTATCGGCTGGAACTACTATAGTAGACTTGTGACACTGGCGAAATGCATGTGAATGATTAGCTGGCTTAAATGGCACACAGACGACCTGCTGCAAGGTTAGAGACAAAATGGGTTTCATATGCAGAATGTTGGGGCATTTTTTGCCCATATTTTGAATTTGAACCCTTAATTCTGTGCATATGGATATTTTATAACGACCACAGCGTCATGCAGATTCAACGGAGTCAATGTTTACAGAGCTTCAGTCCAAAACAAGCTAGTTCTGCACATATACACGTCACACAACTAGCTAAATATACATTATCCATGTGTTTATGGTCGGGAATTTTGGTTGTAGAGCAGTGACAAGAGTGGCACACGCTAGCTACTGCACGTTTAGCAGCAATCAATACTCACCCTCCTGCAAAGAGATGAACCAAAGTATCTCGTTGACTCATTTTGTTGCATATTCAAGGAAAAGTCCTCAGTCCTATTGGTAGAAACACGTTCTCACGGGGGTGTCAGGGCTGGGGTACCCCTGTTTGGAGACGTCCCGATGCTCCAATGTTGGGGTAGAGGTCAGATGCGTAGGAAAAACCCCCAAGGATAGTGCCAGTGCAGAGTTAGCTAAGCTAGCTTGAGTTAGCAGCCGAAGCTAACATCTCCACAGCGCTTTGGAACCGCGTCGTCAGAAACAGCCTCGTCTTCTCAAACCAGTGCAAGGTCCTTCGCGTTTGGGTGAAGGTTTTAAAGCTGTTGGGTGAATGCAAACGGTGAGAATAATGCCATAAAACGTGAGCATGCGTATCGGCCCTAGCTGCTGGTCACTTGTTTGTAGTTCCGCTCGGGCGCTGTGATTGGATGGTGGAGCCCATGTGATCAGAACAGGCCACGCCCATAGATCTATATTCATGATCCCGACCCTATCACTCATGCTTCACGTGATGGTTCTTTGGGTTTGCACAGTAAAAGCAAGAAGAAAGGAGGCCAGAGATCGTTATTCATTATTGGAATTTGATTGGGCCTAACTGGTTCGTCCAATGCTCGTGGCTGAAATGGATCTAATGGGAACGGGATGACTTGGGACAGGTTTAGAATGTGTCATGTGAAAGGAGATTTGATGTTGCAGGTTATGTATGAGGTTGTGTAAGAGTTTCAACCCTTTTTACATCCCGTATTCACAGTTTTTGTCATAGTTTGGCCTGGAGTCTGGAGCAACTTATGAGTGAAACTATTCCATTTTATATTTTATTTACCAAAAAATATCAAATAATAGCCCGGGATTAGGTTGAGCAATTAACTCAAGCTATAACAAATGCAACTTATTTAGTAGTTTGACTCATGTATGTTTTTTCCTTCTTTATTTTGTATTTACGGTATATATTTCAAGTTTCCAGACCAATCAATGGCCCACGCTGACATTAAGCTAAAATCTGGAACAGTTTTCCTGAAAATGTGAGACAGGCTTCTTCTCTAACAATGTTCAAACACAAGGTTTAAAACAGTTTTTAAAGCACTGTGATTGTTTATGTGTGATTGTTTCTTTTCTTGTTTTGTTCAGTAATTTGAGTCGCCTTGTTTATGAACTGTGCGATACAGATAAAGTTTCGCCTTAACCTTTTCCCATGATATTTGATCTATACATTATTATGACTGTCAATATCTATATGATAGAATACACCACACACAAAAAATCGGGCCTATTTGACGGCGTGCACTGATGCATTTGAACAGTCCAAGACAAAAAATGGTGGTCTGATTTGTTGCCAAAATGTCACTTTTACAAGACTTTTTTTTTTTTATAGAGCCGGCTCAACACCACAGTTCCAAGACTAGCCATTTTTTGGGGGGAAAAATGAGGTCAAAAAGCCCATATAACATTCATGCAGTGGTAGTATCTGGTTCTGCTTTGTCAGTTTATAGAGAAGAAAATTGCGTATATTTTTGATTTCCCAACGTCAAAAATCCTGTCTGATCATATAGGAGCATCAGAAATGTCCTGTTTATTTTCTTCATAACACTCGCAATATATATAAACACAAGCAGGCTGAATGCGGGCACACATCTTTAACCGGTGGAGAAACTTACACCACACGTTACGCAAGAAGAGCTTGGAGCGACTTGGCGTTTCTTAGACAAAGGAGCGATTGTGGTCCAGTGTAAACGCCTCCTAAACTCGGACTTGGCCCCATGTGCACACACAGTTATGAATACCTTAAACATGCACTGTAATGTATTTGATGTAGGTCCTTCTTAAAACATGACCTACATGTTGTGAGCGGCGCGATAGGACGTACAGAGAGGGACTGAGGTGAAGTTAAGACAAGGAGGAATGGGCAAAAATTTAATTTGGTGGAAATTGCTCCGCTGAATAAATCGCACACTGCTCCTGATTTTATAAAGGCATTTTGGTATCAAGCTCATGTGACGCAAATCTTGGCTAATAATTTAATTCATTCACCTTTCAATACTACGAAAATCAATGTAATGTTGTTGTTGGAATTGCAACATTACAATAGAGTGAGGTCCGTTAGTTATTACAGAGGTCTTCATTTCAAATATAAATATAATGATAAATACTTTATTATTAGCATTTTTCACACCACAAGGTTTTAGCTTTGTCAGAAATATTCTCTAAAGCATTCAAAGTACCGAGGATCTATTTCTACAAAGACTGAGCCAAATTACAAGTCAAATCTGTGGGAACTAAAGCCCTGTTTCCACCAGCTCTACTTGGATTTACTCTACCTGTCCCTACTCTACCTGGCCCTGCTCTTCTCGGCTCTACTCTACCTGGCCCTGCTCTTCTCGGCTCTACTCTACTTGGCCCTACTCTACCTGGCTCTGCTCTTCTCGGCTCTACTCTACCTGGTTGTGTTTCCATTATGCTTTGTGTATCTGGTACCGTACTCTAGCAACCTACCCTCAACAAGCCAGTATCAGGGGAAATCCCTTGGTAACCATGGCTACTGGTAGAACTCTGGTCAATCACTTTCAGTTAGAACACTTTAGTACCAGCTCGGACTGGATAGAACCAGGACCAAACAGGTCTGGTTAAAGTAATGGTTAAACAGGGCAGATGGAAACGCTCCCAATCAGGGAGAGCCAGAGAAGAGTAGAGTAAAGTAGAGCCAAGAGTTGAATAGGGTAGGGTGGATGAGAGAAAGTTATGGTAGAGTAGAGTATAGTAGTGTAGAGTAGAGTAGGGTAGGGTAGGGTTGGGAAGAGTAGAGTAGAGTAGAGTAGGGTAGGGTAGAGTAGAGTAGAGTAGAATAGAGTAGGGTTGGGTAGGCTAAAGTTGAGTCAGGTAAGGTAGGGTAGAGTAGAGTAGAGTTTGTCACTATAAAGCAGGGTGAAGTTTATCCGTTTAGCGCTTTTCATGGACCAAGGTCACACAACAGCTCACAATAGTGTATACACTGTACACACAATACACAGTGATGACAGAACCGTCCAATCAGCAGCCGCTCCCATAGGTTTGGTTCCTAATCCTACATCTGTTGCTGGGCAGGTTTCAACACATCTCTACAGGAAATCAGCAAAGTTTTGAAAGAAAATGGTTATTGGTTACTAGTCCTTTCACAACATGATATTGACCTGATGTTGTTAGCATTGTAAATAAATAAATAATCTTACATTTCTTATATCCCAATGCTGCTTCTGTACACTGGAAAAAATCCCTTGTGAAAAAGAATTAAAATAAGTAAAATACTACTTAAAATAATAAAAATGATCTGACGAAGAAAATATGACTTAAGATTACTTTAAACAAGCTAAAAAACTCACTGCTCAGACTTTTTTCTCTGATAAGATTATGAAATATTATGTTAAAACTAGTCAAATAATCCAGATAAACTACATTCAAGCAACAAACACTTACAAAAACAAGCATCATTTATGTTATTTTAAGTGAACAATTCCGACCAATATTTAAGTTTCTTCATTTTACCCAGATGTACTCCTCACTGTATTAAACCACCTCCTAATTCTACTTTTCTCCACACGTGGATTTGTGTGTTTGCTGTGCTCTATTCTTGGTAATTCTCTGCTTGTCTGCCCCAGAATAAGTGAACTTTGAGAGTAAACAGGTTCAAGAGGCGCAAATAAATAAGTCAGAGAGAGATAGACTTTTATCAATACTTGTTTTTTGCACTGCAGTTTTGGTCAGTGGTAAGTATATGAATAGTTTTTAATCATTTCATTTTTCATTTCATTTTCATCTCTTTATTCGTCCATTTCTGGGTCTGGGTTTGCAATCAGAGCTGCCACCCAATTTGCAATGCACCACTAAAATTGCACTAGTTTTGAATCATGGATCTATAATAATGGGTTTGCGTCAGATCCATGGTTTGCGTTCATGTTGTGGAAGGATTTTATAGCTGGAGGAGAGGGGAAAATGCATGATGGGAAAGCAGCTATTGAAAGGCAGGTTTATCTGTATAGCACATCTTTGCCATTCACTCCTTGAACAAAGCAGATTTTTGGAATTTTCTAAGATTTAGCAAGCATTTGTTTAGTAGCAAGCACCAAATGCAGTTGGATGGTAAAACCAAGTCAGATGCTTAAAGTAGACTCCATTAAACCATTACAAACCATGAAAGTGTTAACAAAATAAGAAAAGAGACAGAAATATTCTCAGTAAAATATTTCCAAATGTTTTCACGGATCATTATTTAACAGGATTGAATAAATAATTAGACCATAAACTGACAATTTTGACTGGTTTTTTTTCATAAGGATTGGGGAAATTAGATCCAAACCAAGAAATTTACCTTTTGACGGTTACCATAGTTTTTGCCAGATTTTTCAGCTCCCCTTCACCACAATGTAGAGCTGCATTATACAACTAAAAATGATAAAATATCAGGTAATAATTGCTTGAATCAATTTTTTTAAATTTTAATTTCAGTAGATTAAAACCAAGGAAGACATTTCTTTTTTTTTTAAACAAGATCATTTTTCTTGTCTAATTTTCTTTTAATGAAGTCAAAACATTCTCAAATTAAGACACATTTTTACCAACCTTGAGCCATTTCTGTCTTATTTTTCATCACTTTTGCAGTGATCTCACATGAACACAATTATCTTTTGTTATTATGCTCAAAAAAACTAGTATTTTGAGTTCTGTTTTGGCACTGTTTGGTCCATTCCTTAGTTAAGCTCCAATATTTGTCTATGTCATTTCCTTCTTGCACTTCTGGAGCAGACCCAGGACTATATTAGGCCTCTCCCTGATAAAGGACATTGATTTTGGGGAATCCCGTGTTGCTGAGATGACTTCAGACCAGGTTGGACCATATTAGGAGCTTCAAGTCCGCCATATTAGGAGACTTATCTTAGTGACGGTCTGATACCACTTTTTGGCAGATGTCTTTTCAAACTAGAGCAGCTTTTAGTGTAGAACGGTGACTGAAAGTTAAGTCAACAGTAAACTTCTTGTAAATGTGTTTTTGTGGTTTTTAAAGTCATTTGGGAACGTTTTGCAGAAACATGTGCCACAAAAATCAACATCGCTGTAATGATCAACCAGGACTGAAGCAGCGAGGTGAGCACACTTTAGTTTTATCAAAGCAGGATTGAAAGTGCAGTAACGGAAAATCAGGGCGTTTTTAAATAAGGGAAAAGACATAATTTAAATGTAAAAAGTTCATTATGGCTGAGAAGGAACTTTTAATAAGAGCGAAAAGACCTGTTTGAATGGGTTTGTGGTATTCAGGTGCATGTGTATCCAGGAGAGAAAAATACTTCAATAAATTTAGGCAGTAATTCTGGAGTCTCACCTGCATTATATTTATTTTATTTATTTTATTTATTTTATTTATTTTATTTATTGTATTTATTGTATTTATTTTATTTATTTTATTTATTTTATTTATTTTATTTATTTTATTTATTTTATTTACTTTATTTATTGTATCTATTTTATTTATTGTATTTATTTATTTTATTTATTTTATTTATTTATTTTATTTATTTTATTTATTTTATTTATTTTATTTATTTTATTTATTTTATTTATTTTATACAGATAAATTAAACTGGTTCTAAAGGTCAAGTTAAATATTATAAAATCTAATTAATAACATTATAAATCCTATAATTCCAACCAGTTTTTTTTTACTTTAAATTGAATATAGACTGTCCAGTTTTTTTAATCATCTAATATGTTCCTTAACGCCATAACGATTTTGTCCCAAATCAGTTACCGTACCCCTTGCTGGTCCCAGGCCCTCTTCACAACCATCAAACCAGGAAGAATTCTGTGCAACAAAACCATAAACAATTGGACAAAAAGCTAATAAGAACACACCAATGCCAGGTGTTGCAGAGATGACGTGTTCTTACTTTTGATTATTTTTGTAATTCTTTAATCTGAAATGTTTGCACAGTAGAGCCCCCTGCTGGCCTGAGTGTGTTCACAGTTCCTCTGAAGCTTTGGGGTTTCTGAAAACAAGTTGTGTGACTGTCTCTGGACAAAAAAAACGGATCAAACAAATTATGTGACAAAAGTACAAGAGGAAACATAAAGATAATTATAGACTGTAAATATTAGATAGATATTTATTGCTGGTCTCTCTCTGCTGTGGTCTCTCACTCGTCTCTTTCTCTGTCCTCTCTCTGGTTCCTCTCTCTGGTCTCTCTCTCTGGCCTCTTTCTGGTCTCTCTCTGGTCGTTCTGTGGTCTCTCTCTCTGGTCTCTCTCTGGTCTCTGTGGCCTCTCTCTCTGGTCTCTCTCTGGTCTCTCTCTGGTCTCTCTCTGGTCTCTCTGTGGCCTCTCTCTATGGTCTCTCTCTCTGGTCTCTCTCTGGTCTCTTTCTGGCCTCTTTCTGGTCTCTCTCTGGTCTCTCTCCGGTCCCTCTGGTCTCTCTCTCTGGTCTATCTCTGGTCTCTTTCTGGCCTCTTTCTGGTCTATCTCTGGTCTCTCTCCGGTCTATCTGGTCTCTCTCTCTGGTCTCTCTCTGGTCTCTCTCTCTGGTCTCTCTCTGGTCTCTCTCTCTCTGGTCTCTCTCTCTGGTCTCTCTTTGGTCTCTCTGTGGTCTTTCTCCTCTCTCTCTCTCTTTCTCTGGTATCTCTCTTTGCTCTCTCTCAGCTACCACAACTATAAATGACTAATTCCAGACACTTACCATCTTCCTTCTTTCACGGCTGGAAAAAACTCACCACATTTTTGATTATTTTGGGTAAAAATATCAGTTTTTTCACACAATTTTACAAACCTCATGATCTTCAGCCAGCGTCAGACGTGACTCAAATTCCCTTCAAATCGCATCAGCTTTGTGTGTTCTACGCCCGAGCGGAATGCACAGGCCTGAAGTTTAAAGTGCGTGTCTGTCGGTTATCGCTTTAAGGGATTCCACATGGCTCCGTACTCAGACCCATGCCGTTCCCAATCAGACCCGGCACGGCTCCGGTCACACCCGTCCCATTACTTTGATTGGCAGCGAGTGGAGCTGGACGAGTCATGAGGAAGTGGGAGCACGTTTAGAGCCTGGTTTCTTGTGACCGACGTACTTTTAGACATTATTGCTGCGCGAGGGTTACAACAGGGCAAGTATAGGGCAAGTCCGGGACCGAAAGCTGCGGTAGCTAACTTTGACACCACAAAAAGTGATAATAATGTGATAAAATACATGTAACTCTGAAGGTTAAAGGGCTGCCCTCACTCAGCCAATCAGCTCTGAGCATAGAGACTCAAATAATGACGTAAATCAAGTTTTTATTTGATAATTTTCTGTTTTTGAGGACATTTGAAAGACCAGATCACAGCTGTTTATTTGCCTATAACAGTAGCACACTCCAGCACTTTAATTCCCTTTTGAAGATGTTTTTTGTTGCCACAAGGACAGGATTCTCCGACCTTTTCCAATCAGAGAGCTACTTTTATACAACAGAAGAGGCAGAGAGCTACTTCTTTTTGCAGTTGTAATTAAAATCTATGTAATAATTATGTCAAAACATAGGAAACACCTGTAAAATATACCATAATACTGTATAACTATATTTATACTTATAATAGATATGTGAGGACTCAAAAGTGTTCTAAATCCTTTGGGGAGCTACCTGAAAGGGACTGGCGAGCTAAGGTATAAACCTACAAGAAAAAAAAAATCTACCACCCCACAATCGCTGCCGTATCTATATTCACCGTGTCTTCCAGAGAATTAACGGTAACGCCGCCACAGCCAAGAAAAGATATCACCTTATGTACATGTTTTAGGGGTAGGGGAAACCGTAGCACCTGGAGGAAACCCAATCAGACACGGGAGAATTCACTTTGAAAGACTCTGGGATATGAACCCAGAACTGTCTTACCGAGAAGTGCGAGTGCTAACCACTCAGCCAAACCAAGAAATTATTATAATGCTCTCACACTGGGAAAATCCCTTGAAATTCTTTTTATTTTTTAAATATTTGATCATATATTATAATATTATCTTAAGAATAAAACAACACTGGCCCCAAACGACTTGATTGTAGTTTAAAAACATACATTTAAAGTTTCATTTTATTATTTATTAAAACATTTTGAGCAACGTTTTCATAAAATATAGCATAACATTCATGAAGTATTATTATCTTAAAACTAGTAAAATAATCCTATGACAAACTACATTTTGTCCCCTGGACTGCCACCTTAACGTGGTGGGGGAGTTTGAGTACTCGGGTGATCCTGGGAGCTATGCTGTCTGGGGCTTCATGCCCCTGGTAGGGTCTCCCATGGCAGACAGATCTCAGGTGACGAGTCAGACGAAGAGCGGTCCAAAAACCACCATGGACAGCACTAAAATGAGACCAGTGACGTCGCCCGGCATGGCGCAGCCGGGGCCCCACCCTGGAGCCAGGCCTGGGGTCGGGGCTCGTATGCGAGCGCCTGGTGGCCGGGCCTTAGCCCACGGGGCCCGGCCGGGCTCAGCCCGAAGGGACGACGTGGGCAGTCCCTCCTGCGGGCCCACCACCTGCAGAGGGGTCCGTGGTGGCGCGGTGCTAAGAGGACTGGGCAGCAGTCGAAGGCGGAGACCTCGGCGACCCAGTCCACACACACAACATCTGGCTCTTGGGACGTCACATCACTGGGGGGGAAGGAGCTCGAGCTCGTGGGGGAGGTCGAGCGATACCGACTAGAGATAGTCGGCCTCACCTCCACACACAGCTTGGGCTCTGGAACCCAACTCCTTGAGAGGGGTTGGACGCTCCACTGTTCTGGTGTTTCTCGCGGGGAGAGGCGGCGAGCTGGGGTGGCCATACTAATTGCCCCCCATCTCAGCCGCCACGTGTTGGAGTTCTCCCCGGTGAATGAGAGGGTCGCGTCCCTCCGCCTTCGGGTGGGGGACAAGTCTCTCACTGTTGTGACGGCCTACGGGCCTAACAGCAGTGCAGAGTACCCGGCCTTCTTGGAGTCCTTGGGAGGGGTACTGGACGGTGCACCAACCGGGGACTCCGTTATTCTCCTGGGGGATTTCAACGCCCATGTGGGAAATGCCAGTGACACTTGGAGAGGGGTGATCGGGAAAAACGGCCCCGCTGATCTGAACCCGAGCGGTGTTCAGTTGTTGGACTTCTGTGCTAGTCACAGTTTGTCCATCACGAACACCATGTTCGAGCACAAGGGTGTCCACCAGTGCACGTGGCACCAGGACACCCTAGGCCGGAGGTCGATGATCGACTTTGTTCTTGTATCATCTGACCTTCGACCGCGTGTCTCGGACACTCGGGTAAAGAGAGGGGCGGAGCTGTCAACCGATCATCACCTGGTCATGAGTTGGATCCGCTGGCAGGGGAAGAAGCCGGTCAGACCTGGCAGACCCAAGCGTGTAGTGAGGGTCTGCTGGGAACGTCTCGCTGAGCCCCCTGTCAGACGGATTTTCAACTCGCACCTCCGGGAGAGCTTCTCCCAGGTCCCGGCGGAGGAGGGGGATATTGAGTCTGAGTGGACCATGTTCTCTTCCTCTATCGCCGATGCGGCGGCTCGTAGCTGTGGTCGCAAGGTCTCTGGTGCTGGTCCCGGCGGCAACCCCCAAACCCGGTGGTGGACACCGGCAGTAAGGGATGCCGTCAGGCTGAAGAAGGAGTCCTATCGAGCCATGATGGTTCGCGGGACTCCTGAGGCAGCTGTCCAGTACCGGCAGGCCAAGCGTGCTGCGGCCCGGGCTGTTGCAGAGGCAAAAACCCGGGTCTGGGAGGAGTTCGGAGAGTCCATGGAGCATGACTATCGGTCGGCCTCGAAGAGATTCTGGCAAACCGTCCGGCGCCTCAGGAGGGGGAAGCTTTGCTTTGCCAACACCGTTTATGGTGGGGGTGGAGAGCTGCTGACCTCGACTGGGGATATTGTCGGGCGGTGGAAGGAATACTTCGAGGTTCTCCTCAACCCCCCCGTCACGTCCTCCGCCCCGGAGGCAGAGGCTGAGGATGTTGGGGCGGATACTTCCATCTCCCTGGCAGAGGTCACCAAGGTGGTTAGCAGCCTCCATGGTGGCAAGGCGCCGGGAGTGGATGAGATCCGCCCCGACTATCTAAAGTCTCTGGATGTTGTTAGACTGTCTTGGCT